CGTGGGGGTGACCCCGTTGAATCGAGGCGGACGAGAACCGAACTGGATTCCGTAGCCTCTTTCTACAGTACGCATGACCCATTGAGATACATTTGGCAGTAGCTTCCATGCTGTTAAATAATCTACTAAGGGAATCAGTCTCTCGAGACTAATCTCTGGTGTGCCCAGAACGGCTAGTTCGGTGCCTTGAAGCGTCTGCACACCGACAGGGGACGCTGAACTAGCTGCACTAGGGCTCCTCATTAAGGCCGCGAGCCTCTCAGTGCCGCTACGTTGCCGGGCGGGAACTGAGAGAAGAGCTCGCCGGAGACCACTGCACCCTGGAACACGGCAGGGTTGGCAGACCGACCTCCTGAGGGCACTGAGGAGAGATGGGCACCGTGTAAAGCGGTGTGAACCTCTCTTCCCCAGAGGGGCTTGCCCTCCGAGGTCCTGAGCCACAGCATCAGGACTCTCATAGCTGAAGTCTCCTATTGAAAATGACGGCCCTCAGACCCACGTCGTCTGCTAGGAAGACTAAACCACAGCCTGCTCGGGGCAGGACCCAATGAAGCACACTCGGCAGGGGCTCCCACACCGCCAGGTGCTCTCCCCGGTGGGAAGGACCGCAGCGCGGGCTTCTGAAACTCCGAGAGCGGACGCGGGCTTCCGAAACTCAGAGAGCAGGCGCCGGATCTGGTGATTAGCAGATCCATACACGAAACCCACGAGCACAGTCGCCGCTCCGCCTCGGCGAAAGCAGGGCCGGCACCGCGAGAAACGCTAGTGAAGGCTCCCTCCTCAAAGAGAGCCCTCTGAGAGCAAAGTAAGGCAGTAACAACTATGCTTCGCTCCCAAGCAAACCACGCACAGGCTGTGTGTGTCCCCACTCATTATATAACGTTATCTTTCTGCTGGGAGGAACACACAACGTGGCTTGCTCTCGCCCTTGAAATGCTTTGTCCTTGCATGAGCTTAGACATAGCTGGAGCTTATAGACTTTCACAATTGACAGACAACAATAAATATGACTGACACACACAGAGCGCTTCGCTGAATGACAGAAAAGCTGACGCTGGCTCCGCCGCACGTGCTTTTATAGCTTCCTGGTCATGACGTCATCCGCCGTGACGTCC